CCCCAAAACCCCAAAACCCCAAAACCCCAAAACCCCACCAATCTATATTATAATGATTATCATTAATATAACAACTTAGATCACATATAATATAAAACTTAGATTAGATTTTTCCGATATCATTTATTATTTGCTCCTGCACAACCGAAAGTAAAAATGTTAGCAATGCTAGTTAAGAGCCCTCCTGACTTCTACCCATTTTTTTCAAACTAAATACCCTAGAGCATTCTTCGCTTCTTTTCCTCATCAAACTTTTTTTGCTTTGATCTTTCAGCTGCTTTCCTCATATGATAGTCATTTGAGAGTTTTGCATCCAACTTTTCATAATAATTTTCGTCATTTTCTTCATCATCATTCTCATCTTCTTCTTTTTCGTCCTCTTAATCATCATCGCTCCATTCGTCCTTTTTCTACTTCATTATTCTTTATTGATTATTATAAACATCATATTTTTCATCTTCCCATTCATCATCATCAACATTCAATGGAGGCTCGAGAGTTCTAACCTTTGAGAATATATTTCTGTTATAAGTTGATCTCTCAGAGTCATCGAACATTGACTTTTGCTTGCTATCTCTTTGACTTCCAGCTTTTATAAAACTTTCCTCATTGTTAAATGTATAGTTGAGATTACCACCATCTGGGGTCTCATCGTTTTGCATGGCACTCATCTCTTCCAAAACTTTTTGCATCATTTGATTTGATTCTGCAATACTTCCATCGTAGTTGTAAACAAGAGATCTAGGTAAAAAGTCGAGATCAAGATGCTAATCTACCTTCCTAGACTTAATCCACTCTTGAGCTTCTTTTTCCCCTAATGGAATATTTCTAAGATTCTACTTATCATTTTTTCTTCTTTCACAATCCCAGAGATCAGGTATCCTACTTTTTGGTGAGCTTTTCTTGAAATCATTGATAATCTCATGATTTTTTGGAGACCAACTCTCGTTTGGATCCTCTTTTTTACTATTACTAAAACCTTTTTCATTATTTTCCTTAAATTATTTCTTGTAAGATTTACTTGATTTCATATAATCCTTAACTTCTTGCTTTAATCCATCTTCATCCATTAGTTTTTAGTCAATGTTATCATAGAGCGAGTCTAGTTTTTTCATCTACTCTTGCCTTATTTTATCATAATCAACTAATTTTTTATCACTGTCTTTTTACCTTTCAATAATTGGTTTTTCTGAAATAATCTACCCTTTTTAATTACTTAGTACTATTGGATTTTATATAGATTCTCTCTTGTTTGTCACTAATAATACTTATGATGATCTATTAGAACTGAAAAGATTTTATTTTTAAGATCTTCTATTCTCAACTTTTTAATCACTTAGCACACTTTGTGCTGGCTCTTACTTAAATTTTGCAGTATGATGTTCACTTGGCTGCTGTGAAACTCTTGACTACCTATTTTCAAGTTGAAAGTCAAGATAGCTAAGATCACTCAAAAACTAATTGCAAAGATCATAAACGTCATCATTTTCTCCTTCAACCTTTCTGCCTTTCTTATATTTTCTTGGTTTTTTCTAGGGCTAAACGAATTCCTCTAATTCTTTCATAACATCTTATTCTTCTTCAATATATTCGTCTTCTAGAATAAGTCCATTTTCTTAGAAGCTACTAGCATTAAATATCATCTTAGAATTATTAATGTTTTATTATTGCTAGACTTATCCAGGTGTAACTCCATTAATTGATGACTGGTTCATTATATCCTGCATAATTGAATTTGACCTATCACTTAATCCCCAGTTTTAAGATAAATCAGATTCAACCCTGTCAATAAGCTGAATCTATTAGGTTGGCTTGATAACCTTTGGTTCTTATTACATTCTTAATTAATCGTTATAATCTGATTGAGAGCTCTTTTGAAATTATTTATTTTAATTTGAACTTGAAGTTGAATATTTCGAAGAATTGCTGGTAAATTATTATTGCTATTAACCTTCTGTCTGCTACTGTGAGAATGCTCTAGATGACTATGACTATACTATCACCTTATTATTCTATTCTGGCTGATTCTTAGGGACTGGTTAAGGAGAGGGTTATTTTTTAAGATTAAACTTTACTTCGAAGTGTCTTATCCAGGGATGATCAAATATTTTTATTATTGGTATTCTTTTATTAGGATCATTCTATAGAAGTTTTTCAACTAAGTCTTTATAATCCTTTGAACAAGAAGATTTCCATTTAATTTTTCTGGCTTTGATTTAATCAATCATATCTCGAGGATTTTATCCCTAAATATAGAAATTATTAAAGATAAAATGTTAATTATCTTACAGAAAACGGTGCATTCCCGTGGACAAGTTCATAAAGCAAGATCCCCATGCACCAAATATCAAGAGTATGATTATGAGGTTAATTTTCAAGCATTTCTGGAGGCATATATTCTAGTGTGCCGCAAAATGTATTTCTTTATTGCTAATCACTTGCTTACACACACCATCCGAAATCACATATCTTTAATATGTTTTCATCATTTATTAGCAAATTTTCAGGCTTTAAATCTCTATGAATCATTCCATTTTTATGAAGAAAGTACAAGCCAGATATGCATTATATGAAAAAGTAAAATGCCTCGTCCTCAGATAGAAATTTTCTGTTTCTAATTAAGTAAAACAAATTTCCTTTGGCAGCATACTCCAATATCAAGTATATAAACTTATCATCCTCAACAGAGGTATAAAGTCTGATTATATTCTCATGTTGAAGTTTCTTATGTATCTCTACCTCCCTCATAAGTGTAGCTTTAATTTTTTTGTTTGCAAGGGATTATTTATTTATTTTCTTAATTGCTAACTTCTTTCCGCTTTTCTTATGCTGAGCAAGTTGGACTTCTCCGTAAGAACCCTTACCCAGCTGATAGTTTCCTTGCTTAATAAACTCTATATCGCTCATCTTGATATTGATGAATTCTTATTCTTCTTGAGAATTTATGCCATCAACAACTCCCATCTCTACTATGTGACCCTCTTTAATGAATGGCGTAGTTTCTTCTATTCTTGCAACTTCATCCTCATCAATGAATGCAGCATTTTTAATAGCTCCATTACATTTAAACTAGTGAGATTTAAACCAGTCTTGCTATGCACATCTCTCAGAACAGTAAAAAATAACGCAGCAGTAAGGACAGGGAAGCATCGTTGTACTATCGTACCTAAATTATATTAATGAAGGATCATCAGTGTCTTCTTTGATGGGGCACAACTGATTTTAACAAGCCATTCTTAATGAAAAATACAATTATGTTAAATTTATTATAAAATAACTCCATTATTCGTCATCTTTGAGTTATCAGGGGTTTTGGGGTTTTGGGGTTTTGGGG